AAGAAGAATGGGCCAATAAAGTGGTTGCCAATAATTCCTGCCCATACGTTAACCGAAAATTGGTTTTTGAAATGGGTCTCGGTTATGACATAGGGATTTTCTTCTGCCCACAGATGATTATTGTGGAAATTCTCTATGGCATTTTGAGAAAAATTAGCTTCGTCCGTGAACAGAACCATTGATTCGAATTGCGGACTTTGTGCAATTTTTTGAAGATACCACTGATAAAAGGTCACACGCCTTGGAAAATCAATGGAAAGTAATGCATGTACTCTTAAAATATAGTAAGGTTTCAGAATGTTCTTCGACTTCGTGCAGCACTGCTTCCTCAATTTCAGGTGTTCTCACACTTAGAGATCTAATTTCAGATGTTCCTTTCGGACAGAACCAGTTTCAACAAGACGACGAGGCAAGGCCATGTGCGTAATGGATTTCAGTCATTTCTGCATTTGAATAATTCACCATTATTAACAAGATTGTAAAAACTAAATAATGAAAAAGATGTCACAGCGAACAGATTTGAATAACAGAGACTGGTCAGATGCATTGCCGAAATATAGCTGGCGTCCTTTATTTGTGGCAGGTTATAATTTTTTCTATATATATCAAAGACACGTGGGGCATATACTCGTACAACATCAACATCTGATACGCTGGAGTATGAAGTAACAATAGCTATTTTTTACAATTTTTACATGTAGACACTTCCTCACCACCATCATATGACCTTCTCTCTTTCTGCAATCTGATCTTCTGATCATAGTACGCCACAGTTCAGTGTTCCGCTGGCTCACGAGTTACCTGTGATGGTGAGCGACGCATCTTCGCATTTCAAGCAGCCTGCTACCCAGAGATGCCGGGACGTGTAGGCGCTGTCTGCCTTACCGACGTATGCGATCGGATACCGTTTAAGAGCGATGACACACACAGCGGTTTGTGCCGACTCGGCTGCCGAACCCACTGCCGACTCAACGTTGGCTTTTCCCTCGACAACCGGACGGTCATTGAGAAAACGTTGTTGGGAGACACCAAATGCAAGTAGTTGACTTTTGATTCGATCACTATAATTTTTTCCAGTCGTGTCCCATATTGCTGGACGGTTCTGTATTTGACTTAGTTTATCTGCATCGAGATTCGCTTCTATGACCTGCAGTGCTCCTGTCGATGACATTTTCAATGGTAAAACAGTATGTAATAAGGCGATTGAGCATGTAAAAAACGATGTGTGTGTCTTCGTCCATATAAAACAAGCGTAGCGACAGTAAGGGTAAAGACAAACAGAGCTGTTTTGACCGACGCGTTTATCGAATCGGCCGCGTTCTATTAATCCACACTGAGCTGTTTCTTCAGCGGTTTATGCAGTGATCCATGCGATTTGCAGAATGGATGACGTATTGTATTTATCGCTACTGTATTTGTATAAGAAAATTAGTAAAAAGAAAAAAAGGAATAGAAGAATGTGGATAATAATAATAATAATAATAATAATATTTATTCACTCAATGTACAAAGATGACAAACAATATGAGTAAATAAATATAAAATCAAAACAGGCCCAATAGAAGGCATCGCCTGTACATGGACCAATAATTTAAGTTGAAACTGTAGAATGCAAATGACAAAAAAGGACAAAAATTAGCTACAGTAGATTATGTATTTAGTTGATGTTCGTATTTATGAGTTTATGAATTTCAGTCCTAGATATAGAATGTAGCCACTTTTTTAAATTTCTTTTGAAAAAATTCCCGAAACGTAAATCTTTTAAGTCTTTAGGTATAATTTCATAAAATTTAGGCGCTAAATAGAGATATGATCGCTGCATTATAGATTTATGCGGTTGAGGAACTACTGTGCCACGAATTTTGTACCTGGTATAATGATTATGTTTAATTTTTTGGTCGGTGTTTACAAATTTATGGTAGTGAGTGATACTGTGTAAGAAATAAAGTTGTCTTATATCATACATCCGAACATCTGCGTATAATTTTTCAGTGGGATAAAGTTTCGGTTTTTTAAATATCATTTTTAGAATACCTTTTTGAAAAACATCTAAATTATAGATATGTGAGGAACATGCAGCTCCCCAAGCTAATATACCATATGTGAGATGAGGCTCAATCAGTGCATGGTATAATGTTCGAAGATATTTTTCTGTCAATATATTCCCAAGGTATTTAATTTTGTAGGATACAAATCTAGCTTTCTTTAAAATATAATTGACATGGATGTCCCATCGTAAGTGAGGATCCAAGACCACTCCAAGGTATTTTATGTTGGGCACTCTGTTAATTTGCATTTTTTGATCATTAATGTTAAAGGAGAAATTTGTGTAATTTGGCAGATGTCTAGCATAAGATCCAAATGGTAAAAAATGTGTTTTAGAGTAGTTAATGCTTAATTTTCTACTGTTAAACCACCGAATAATTTTGATAAAGTCATTTTCAATTACATTTTTCAGATCAGACCAGTCAGTACCTTCATATAATATTACAGTATCATCTGCAAAACTAGTTATTTTGCCAACACAATTAATTTGGAAAACATCATTTAAATATATATTGAATAACAGCGGACCTAAGACAGTTCCTTGTGGGACACCACACTTAATATACATTTCTTTACTAAATGATCCTCATATCTGCACAGATTGTGGGCGATTTGACAAATAATTTTCGATCAGTAAGTACGCGTTTCCTCTGAAACCAATTCTCTCCAATGCTTCTAATAATAATTTGTGATTAACTGTGTCGGAAGCTTTCTTTAAATCAACAAAAATGCAGATTGAAGGGATTCTGTTATCAATATTTTGATGTATTTGATTTACAATTTTAGTTATTGCGTCCGATGTAGCCTTCCCTTCTGTAAATCCATATTGATTTTCACTTAAAATTTTGAATTTTGTGAGGTATCGAATCATTCTAGTAGATAAAACTTTTTCAAAAACCTTTGCTACACTGGATATTATTGATATTGGTCTATAGTTGTTAACACCTGTTTTTGTTCCTGATTTATGTATCGGTATTATATTACCTTTTTTTAAAATTGAGGGATATATGCCAGATTCAAAGCATTTGTTGATTAGGTAAGTGAGCGGTTCTGTTATGTCCTCGGCTATAATTTTCAAATCCTCGCTTTTAATACCATCTAACCCAGGACTTTTCCGATTTTTTAAGGACATAACAGTGGTGTATACTTCACATTGCTCGACTTTATCCAAAATAATTCAAAGTTCTTTTTGGAGGCTGAGTATTTTGTACATTTGCTTGTATATTACTTGCTAAATTTTCGCCTATGTCAGTAACGAATTGTACAAATTCATCGCATATCTGTTGAGTATCTTTTAATACTGTTCCCGATGTTGTATTTAACTCAGTGACACACTCTTTAAATTTTGTTTTCCCAGTAATCTCATCAATAGTTGTCCAAAGCCGCTTAGGATCATTTAAGTTATTATTCAATTTATTTAGGTAATGTTTTCGTTTGGTTTGCCTTGCAAGCTCTATAAATTTATTTTTATATTGGTTGTAGGAGTCGGTATTCTCTGTAGTTGACGTTAGTTTCATTACATTATATAGTCTTTCTTTTTCTATTGCCGATGTTATTAATCTTTTGGTAATCCAGGCATTTCTGCTTTTCTCTTTGTGACTAATTATTACTTTATTGGTACTAATATCTATTAGTTTTTTTATTTTCTATATGAACAGTCCCGTTGCTTTGTCTATATTATTTATAGAGTATAATTGTTCCCAGGATTCTTGTTTGACATTTGATATTAGTTTTGAATTGTCGACAAAAAATTTGTAATTTTCCAGGTTGTTATTAACGGTAGGGATGTTTGAATGTTTTTCATTTGAAGATATCAGTAAAATAGTGGAGAAGTGGTCAGTAATATCGCTTTCTAGGATTACTGGTATACAAGTAATTTTGTTGGATAGGTCTTTCACAAAGCAGTGATCTATACATGTGCCACTGATGGACCTTGTAGGTAGGTTTATATAGGACAGAAATCCGTTACTTGATAGGATATTCAAGTATTCATTTGTGATGGGATCATCGTCCAAAATATTTATATTAACATCTCCCAAGAAAATATGTTGCTTTAAATGAACTTTATTTTGATTTTGAAAAAAAAATTCGATATTCTTCAAAAACTCGTGGGGTTCTGAACATGGCGGACGATAAATTGCAGATACCTCAATTTTGTTATGGTTAATTTGGATCATTATGTTTAAAATTTTGATTCCATCAGTGAAAGTGAATGTATCATGATTATATTGCAGTTCATTTCTTACAAAAACTATCACCCCATCGTTTTGGTTATAAGTGCCAAAGTTATACAGCGTGTCATATATCCCTGCTGATTGAAGCAAGAAATATCAACCACTTGCCACGTTTCAGTTAAAACTATTAGATCATAATTGAACCATATTTGGTCGAGTAGTATTTTTAAGTAATCAATGTAGTGTTTTATACTCCTTATGTTCATATTAAAAATTCGAAATTGTGCATCAGAATTTTGTGTACATAAATTAAGTTCATCGACGTTTTGTGCTATATTTGTTGCAATATTTGGAATTTGGAAATCATTAATGTATTTATTTACTGACATTTTTAGGTCATCTTTAGAGATAGGAGTATCAAAAGATGAACTTGAATTTTAAAAAAGTATCCTTAAGTTTTGTTGTTCCTGATATATATACATCCAATCATCGAAGAAAGGCAGCGAAAAGGTCATTTTCATACATTTTTGGCTGAAGTACAAAGAGATGAAGAAAAGTTTTTCAACTTTACTAGGATGTCGCGAAGTACTTTTTACGAGTTATTAGCAGTTTGTGGAGAAAAGCTAGCAAAGAAAGATACACGTATGAGAAATGCGATAACACCAGAAGAAAAACTAGTAATAACTATCCGGTAAGCAAATAAATTAGGTAACTGTTTCGCATTTTATTAACAATTTATTCCACAATCTTTCATACATTATAAGAGTATATTTATTCAATTCATACTAAATATACTAAACTGGGAGTCGTCTTCCGAAAAGTGGGAATAATAGCTTGTAACTGATTCAGCTGGTGAAGGAGCTGCAGGTAGTGTGGTGTAGGAGCGGCATTCTGAGATAGTCCATACTGCTCTTGTGGATTTTGTACAAGTCCTGACTGACTGGGATAATGGGTTATGGAATACGTTTGCTGATGTGGAGGTGGTGGTGTATCTGATGTGTGATTTGCTTCGCTCCTGGTTGCATATTTCGAAATAGTCTGCATTATTTCAATCATGTATTAAGTGAAGGTACTAAGGAAAGTGCAAAGTGGTAATTGACATCTTCAGTCATCGTCTTGTTTGCGCTTTTTTCGTAATTTTCAAGTGAATGTAATATTAAATATTAAGTAAGAAATTTTCTTCTTCGACCGGGTGTGTCCTTTTTTTGCCAATTTTAGAATTATACTTTTCTTTATAGATTAAAGTAGGCGTTGCAGGGTTATTTGTATCTAATTCGGATGAATATTCATTATCTAATGAACTGGTGGTTTGTCTGGGCAGTATTACATCTGTGAGAAATTGTAACCTCTGTGTATAAACGTAAGGAGCTTTCCGATAAGCTCCAGCCCCTGAGTTTCCTTTCCTTTGAAGAATATCTCTTGAAAAGTTGTCTCGGATATTTTTCCACCTCTTATGCAATTCATTGCCTGTAACAAAATAGAATTACGTACATAACGTTTTAATTAACTGCATTTTTTTTCATTTTAGATATTTGGCTACGGGCTGCTCTTTGGCCGAATTACATTATAATTTTCGTATTGGTAGATCTACTGCTAGTAACATTATCCAAGAAGTATGCGAAGCAATATGGATTGAATTAGCAGACAAAGTTATACCGCAATGTTCAACAGAGAAATGGATAGAAATTGCTAAAGGGTTTCAAACATGTGCACAATTTCCCAACTGTATAGGAGCAATAGACGGGAAACATATTCGGACTAAGCAGCCACCCAATAGTGGGTCTATGTACTACAATTATAAACAGTACTATTCTACGGTACTGTTTGCGATGTGCGATGCCAATTATTGCTTCACGTATATTGAAGTGGGATCATATGGTAAATCAAGTGATGCTGGCATATTCACAAATTCTAAACTTTATGAACGATTAGTTAATGGTACATTGAGAGTCCCTGCACCATGTGCTATTGACGAAAGGAATGAAAAATATCCTTTCATAATAGTTGGCGATGAGGCATTCCCCTTATCCGAAAATTTGCTTAGGCCTTTTGGAGGTAAACAACTGACACCTTTAAAAGAAACTTTCAATGCTAGATTAACCCGAGCCAGAAGATATATCGAATGCTGTTTTGGTATTCTAGCCAACAAATGGCGTATATTTCATCGACCTATTGACCTCGATATTGATGTAACTGTAACTGTAGTTAAAGCTGCGTATGTGTTACATAATTTTATAAGGACAAGGGATGGCACTCGGTCGAATGATGAGAAGTTAGATGAAAATATCAATCTTGAAGGTCTAGCACCAGATACAACCCACAGAGGAAATCCATTAGCATTATCTGCTAGAGATAAATACGCTCAATATTTTGTAAAACAAAAAACCGTTTAAATAATAAAGATAGCCAATAAAAAATTTTGTTAATTTGTTCTTATTATCTTATCTTATCTTAATTATTATACCTACCTAACTGCTTCTTTTCGTCAATTGTGCTGTTTTCTTTTGAAAACAAATTTACAAGTTCCTCCCAACATTTTCTTCTCATAACCCTATCGCTGTATTCCTTTTTCCTCATATCCCAAAGTGGCGGTCGGTTCTCTACTTCGCTAATTAGCTTTTCAATATCAATTTTGTGTGCTTCCATTTCTATACAAAACGAGTCGAGACACGTACGTGTGTGAACAGAATAATCTAATGACGCTGAAAGACTCGACGCGCCACTTGAATTAAACCGACTCGATTCCTCAGATCAACTACAAACCTAAGCTGTTACCGATTAGAGCAATTGATGTTTCAGAGAAACCATACAATTTAAATTTGGCTGATAAAAGAGAATGGTTGAGGTTTGTCAAACGCTTTAGTAGAATTTTAAAGAATTTAGGAAGTTGCTTGAAGGCTATCGCAAGCCCTGACAATGTTGTCAGTAAGATGTTACAATGCTGCAGCAGTATCACGTACCTTCCTAGAACCGCATTGCCTAGCTGACGGTAGTATTCTATATTTCAAAACATATTTTTTCATTTGAATATACATTGCCTTTTCCAATAATTTGGGAAGTACAGGTAAAATGCATATAGGCCTGAGGTCAGTATTATCAAAAAGTTGATCAAACTACAGGAATTACATTAATACATCCATCTCCCTCACACAAACATATGCAATTTATGTGAAGTCAAAGGCATGCGTTTTCTGGTTTTGTCTCTATTATATATGATGAACATATCACAGTCAACGTGTGAGTCTTGGTTGTCATGGGCGAGTCATTGATGTCTGGCCATATTGATCTCCAGTATAAACTATATTTAGCGCCTGATGATACAACTACAATGTCTACAAGTTTGTATCGGGAGTATTTTCAGAAAGTGAATGAAGCCAATACGTGTGGGTGTTAGAAGGAGAACCAGCTGCGTTTTGAATCGGCTTGTGCAGTGTGCAATTTCGCTTGGAAAAGTTAGGCTGCGTGCACATTATTCACTCTGTTAAGTTGTTTCATATGTCATTGTGGCGTAACGGCCAAAATCATTATTCGCACACGGTACCATCTGTATCGTGAAAAGAACTATACCTACTGACAGCGCGAACTTGTTTGACAAGTCGCCATGGTCACACCGCAACCACTTGCTAAGCATCAGTATAGCACACGTATGAATAGGCTGGAGCTTCGGAAATAGCAGTTTAAATGCACCAAACAACTACGGTTATCTGATCTTCTGTGGCTAACAGAGTCACTGACGATTCGTCTATTACTGCCGGTGGTGACCAGATAGTCGTGTCGCTTCCAGCTCCCTTAGACTATAGTCTAATAATCCATGAATTGCACATCAAAGTGGATTAAGGAACACCTAGGCGCATCGAAGCTTCCATTTAAAACACGTTTAAAGGTTAGTACTGGGTATAACGACGTTAAGCAGATCATAAGAAGGTGCGGTGTATTGCGACTAGGAAAGTGCATGAATAGAGTGCTAGCGGCGCGATTACGTACTAAGCGCTTTTATGAATTCTTAAAATACCGCTGCCTCGTGAACCAAGCGCTGTTGAATGCTGTCAAGTGTAGCGTGTTGGTGAACACGGTCTGGGATCAAGGAGTAGGGATAATAGAAGGAGAGGGTATGTCATAGCGGAAGAGCCAGATGCAAATTTTGAGTGTTACGTGTTACCAAAATAAAATGTATAATTACCGAAGGTATAGTACCTTACAGAATCGCATTATACTCTCAGGAGTAGCCAGAATGATAGCAACTTTGTAGTCGCAGATGGAGATCGGCGCCATTTACGATTTGTCGAAAAATATAAACAAAAAGACATGCTGCTCCAAGAAGTTCTCCACATATTTGACCCCTTTGTTGAGGTAACAATTTGCAAATATGCCGACTGTTTTTCGGTATCTGTCAAATGAAATCAAATATCTCTAACTCCTTAACCTGGGTATTTTATAGAACCTTGAGAGTTACGTATGTTTATTGACATCAGATAAATGCACGCCTGTCGATGTCGCACCAATTTGAGCACTTTTAATTACTTTTTCCATCGCTTTTTGGAACATTTTTGGAGGAATAGTCTGAATAGCTAGCCGAATATCAAATCTCGACTGCTGAATATTGTTTGGTCTATTGCTATGAACGCTATTTTTTTCGAGCTACACGAAAAGACGTATGGAACCGTTAGCTATGTTGACGTTGGGAGCCAGATATCACCTCCTAGGGAGATCAAGGGCTCTGAAAACATCCTTCACAAGACAATAATCGTCCTCCTAGTTGTGTATTACCTTGCTCCTTTCAACTGGACCTACATTTTTTGAAAATTGTATGAGTCAAACAAATCTGCTTCATATAGTGGAAACGTTGAACGCTAAATGCCTAAATGAGTGTTGAAAAACCTAATCAGGGAGACTTAGGCTTGTGCAGCTTCCAGAGGTGGGTATTTATTTTCCATGCGTTACTCCTAACTATCAATCAAAGGTCAAGATTCAATTTGATAAGTTAATTTGAACTTGTTTTACTTTATTTTAAAGAAATGTTGCACCTTCCTCAGGTGGTAATGGGACGACCAGAATTTGAAGCGCCTCAAGTGCTATTATAGAAGTAGCATGTCGTACGATTATATCATAGCCAACGATGCCTCAAATCAATTTGAGTACTACCGTCAATCTCAAATTATAGTGGGTGATTCAAATTGAGTCCACATTACAAATAACTTTTTTTAAACGTCACTGAATTTGTCAACGACAACGTGCCATTTCTAACGTCAAAATGTAAACAAAACAGTCATGAATCAATATGCGACCGAACAACGTGTTAAAATTATCCAAGCCTATAATGAAAACGGCCGATCAAGGAAGAATACATTTCGTGCTTTACGTGAATTTTTTGGTGCACAAAATCGGCCTTGTGAGAGGGCAGTTTGGAATTTGATGCAAAAATTCGAGCAAACTGGATCCGTAGCTAACACTAAAACCCATAGGCGTGCCCGTGGAGGTCGGTCGGAACACAATATTGCTATTGTTGTCGAAAGTGTGGCCGAAAATCCAAGAACCTCGATTCGTCATCGATCGCAGCAACTGGACCTTACCTATTCCACTATACAGCGGATTTTAATAAAAGATTTGAAGTTACACCCATACAGAGTCCAAATAGAACAGTAATTGAATTCTAGGTTACACATCAGGAGAAACGATACAATTACTGCGCGGCATGTTTCCAGGTCGCGTTATTTCACGTAACGGCGATATCAATTGGCCGCCGCGATCCAGTGATTTAACTCCGTCAGATGATTTTCTTTAGGGTATTTTAAGAGCAAAGTCTACAAGAATAACCCGAACACATTTTCGGAGCTGAAACAGGAGATCCGACGCGAAATTACCAACATAGGACCTGATTTGGGCCACGGAGTAGTCGAAAATTTCTCGAAACGGATTACGTCATGCCACATGAGCCGAGGCGGTCATTTACTTTATATCATCTTTCAAGCATAATTGTAAGGAACTGCCCTGAAAAGGCAAATACATACTTTTTTATAATTTTCAATTTCTTCTTTTTTTAAATACTTTTAATGTGGAAACCCAATTTGAATCACCCTATATATATATATATATATATATATATATATATATATATATATATAACTTGAGACGTGGTCATTGTCGTCTAGACCAGTTAGGTGAAAAATTAAAGCTTCCGCCTTTTATTGGGTACTTCGTCAAAATTTAAGCAAAGAGGACTCTTTATACTTTTTTAATTATCTCTAGCTCTCAATGGACTTTGCCATCATCATCAGGAGCTGCAATTACAATGATAACAGTAGCAACAAAAGTGTAAAATGAATTTAAATTGACTCAACTCACAGTAGTATGTGAGGATGTTGCTAATTGTTGTTTACGTATAGGATGAGGGAAACGTCCAGTAACATGGTGAGAGGTGGACAGATGGTACAATGGTCAAAATTATATAAAATATGACAAGAACAAGTTAAAAACAGATTAAAATTATTTAAAAAACATTAGAGCATTACATCGTGAAGCCACTTGATGATTGCACAAAATGGTGGTCATGGAATAGTGAGTGAGATGAAACCCTTTGACAGAAGGCCGAAGGTTGTCAATGTCTGTGTTGAAAGATGGAACGAATTGTGGGCGTGTGCCAAACGTTGCCAAATCAGTTCAGATGATGTGATTTTCAGAATGTTATGTGAGAAATTGTTAAACCGACCAGAGGCAGTTGAATAAACTATATTTTAATTAATGGGAATTTAAATTAACAATTATTAATAAATCGTGAGAAGACAATTATTATATTTTGAGTGGAATGAAATTTACTGGTGGAATTGGCCAAAACACAGATTCTATTTATGGTTGTGAAGAGTCGAAATTTGGGAAGATATGTAAGTTCTCCAATTTTTCGCAGTTTAGCAAATATTAGTAAATGACACTCAGTTGTTTAACATCTGTCTTTTTGTTGATACAGTTGTTATTCATGAAAATGTGGGATATTTCCAGGAATAAACGTCTGGAAAGGTGTTTTTCTTTATCAAGAACTTTGATACTTGTGTAATTCATAGAATGCCCTGTTGTGTTAACATGAGATGCTAGAGGGCATCTTTCAGGATGAAGCCTAGCATCACTTTTGTGTGATGTAATCCTTCCTTTAAGAGATCTGGAGGTCTGACCTATGTATATTTGGTTGCACTTGTTACAATTGATGGAGTAGACTGTGTTGGTTAAGCCAAGCAGCGGGACTTTGTCTTTCATTTTTGAAAAAATGCAGTTTATAGTGAGGACGGATTTGCAAGCAATTCGAAAATTAATTAATTAAATTTTGTCGAAGTACCCAACAAAAGGCGGAAGCTTTAATTTTTCACTTATATATATACAGGGTGACTTCGAAGTTGAGTCATTTATTTTAACAGTGAGTAGATCTGATCAAAAGAAATGTGTTTTTCCTTTACCATTTTTCTGGTAAAATTAAAGTAACAAAGTTATAGCCCTTTGGAAGTTTGAGTACCGCCCTGTCTCAATAATAATATGATGTACTCGTGTTTGGCAACAACGGATATAATCCGCCTTACCAGTTCATCGCATCGGAAACAAAAAAGCGAAAGAATTTGGAACGTTTTTGCAATTAAGTATTTTATTCAGTTCAGTTATACATACACTCAGTGTCTG